AAATATAAATATATTTTCAAAAATATTTTATTATGTGGATGTTTTCAACACTATAATAAGCATATAGATTTTGATGAAAATTCATATAAAAATATTTGAATGTTTGATTTAGGTTTCTTAAAACTATAAAAAATAACTTATAATATTATTTTAAAATTAATAAAATAATAATTAATAAATATTCGTAAGAAAATTATGCTCGCATATGCGGGCACAACACCTAGTTTTTTTATAAATACTAACAAAAATTCTAATATAAAGAGATTACTGAAAATATGTCCTTTTATAATTAGATGCCCTAAACGACCGCTTGAGTGGTTTGGCTTGCCCTCTGGGCCAGTCCTGCTTACTCGCATGATACATCGTATCTAAATCACTGCCTTTCGGTTTACACTGGTGACATAATGAGACTTGCTAAGTCTGCACGTAATTTCCTTTTCCATCAAATAGGAAGGGAAACCAATGTAGAAGAAAAAGAAGAGGTCACAACATATCGATATGCTACTTTTAGCTCATAAAAGTTTTCGGATATGCAACATATATATATATTTTTTTTTTTCAAAATACATTTAACAAAACAAATTTACATTTTGTCAAACCAAATAAGAAAGAGAGTTTCAGGTAAGTTATCAAGAAACCATTAACCGAGTGCATAGTATACCTGGTAGAGCCGCAACTCAAACCGAGGACCAATTTCTTTTAGCTCAATCGATTTTGGGCCTCCTCCTTTGTCATACACATGATTCCTATATATATATATGCCCAAAAGAATTTTCAAACAAGAAACGACACAAAACAAAACATGCAAACATAGTTTTCTGGAACTTAGTTATTATGGAGAAAACTCGTATACCTGAGTGAAATGTAATCAGATTCATTAGAAAAAGTAACCATGCGCTTTGAATCGAGTTTAGGAACTGGGAAGATGTGTTTTAAGATGTTCATAACTCTTTTACCCATCTGCCAAAAGATCAACAAGTTTAACATCAGAAACAAAGAAGAAAGGAGTAAATAAACTCTACAAAACTCGTTCAAATAGCAATAAAGGAAATGAAGTGGTCGACAAATATACAAACCTGGGTTGTAAAGTGTTCAAAGTTGAGATGAGGATATTGCTCAGACATGTTTCTCATTTCTTTCTTGATTTGAATTTCATGTCTTGTTACCTAAAAACAAAAGGGGCACTCTGGATTAAGCAAAGTAAAGTATTTCTGAAAATATAATAGCCTCAAAGACCATCATTAAGTAACTGAAAGTAGGCAGTTGGTCCGAATAGGAGATGAGAGATATTAAGACCATCAGGTTCTCAGAAACAAATATCACATCAGTAAAATCATGAAAACGAGCGGTTTCAATAATCTCAGAAATGACCTGACAAAGAAACAAGTTCCAGTATTATGATCCCAAAAAGATATGTATTGTGTTTGTATAAAGGTCACGCTTAGTGATGGTTACTATTAGTCACATATGACCAGGAAACAAGATGGTGTTAACGAATCAGTCGAACCTTGGAGGGCTTCACTTATTTTGCGCTTCTTTTCATAGAGCTTACGCTCATCACCTTCCAAGTTTTTCCTGTAGAGATACTCTTTTCTTAACCTAACGTTCCTGCGCAACATCCTGATTTGATTAACGAGAGAGAGGCTACGGAGGAACTCAGCCATGTGGCTTTGGAAGTGGCAAACTAGCATTGGAACCTGGTCTCTGCGATCCAGAATCAATGCGGGTCACAGTAGTACGGAGAGCAGGACGAGGAAGAGGAACAGCAGGAGATCTTGCTGCAAAGCTCTGACAGCGTGAAACCCTAGTAGAAGGAGATGGAGATCTTGATGGTAGTCTAGATATAGCTCCTCTTTCTGATACAATCTCATCACGCCGTCTACGTGACTTTCTTGAACGAAAACTAGACTTATCCTCAGACCCAAACCCTAGTTTCCGGTTAAACGCATCGATGATACTCTCCTTGCTAGATTTCTTCTTTTCATCTTTTGATGAATGTTTACTCCACCAAGGCATGATCTTTCCCAGCAAACTATATATAACTCTTTCCTTTTTAAAAAAAATGTTGTTTCGTTCAACACTACAAAGTAACTATCCTTTTGACCACTTCAGAGATCATACTCGGTTGACCCAACAGAGGTCAACAATTGAAAAGAAGTCCCAATTTAAACGCCATTTTTATAATCCCACTAGCGTCTGACCAATTCAGAGAAGTAGCTGAAAGATCTGATTACAAAAATAAAACACATAGTTAGGGTTTCAGCTCCAGCATTCCCAGAAGAACATTATGATAGTAACAAACAAAACCTATGATTCTGAGAGACTATATCTATCAGAATCTCATCTTACAGCTAAGCTTTATTAGAACTAGTTTTCAAAAAAAGATGAATGTGATCATCTTCTACCTTAGCTAGTCTGAGATCCATTGCCAACAGTAAACTTAAAGTTTGAAACTTTTCAACAGATCTACACAGACAAGTTCCATTGAAGGAAACCCATAAAGAGAAACCATTCAATCTCAATTGCTCAAATCCACACACAGACGAAAAAAAACCCAAATCAAAAGTTGGAAACTTTCATGGTGAAATTGAACATGGAAGGAGCTTAATCGAGACCTAGTTCTTACCAGATTTTTCAGCAGCTTTCAATCGAGAAAAGCTGAGAGCCGAAGGAGTAATCGAGAATCCAGGAAGGCGTCAGATCCCTAAATTGATGCTTCCACTTGCAGTGATAGATAGTCTCTGTGAGAGGAGATAACGAAGACGAAGAGGTGTGTGTGTGTGTAGAGAGAGAGAGAGAGAGAGAGAATAAGAAGTGTAGAGAGAGAGCGCGTTCGAAGAAAGCATTCACTCTCAGATTTCTTCCTTCTTCCTGCGTTAATCTATTTAGTAGTAACTGATACTTACCCCTCATTATTGGGATTTATTTGTGTTTAATGATTTATATTAGAGAAGCTTTTTATTTATTTATGGAAATAGACAACGTGAAAGGAAAACAAATTGAAAATATGACAGAGCTCTCTGATTGTATTCTGATTTTACAGATTTTTTTTTTGGTTTTCCATTAGCACAAGTATTAGCAAAATATCATTTATTTTTCGAAGTTAAACTGTATGATGGATAATTTGTAAGTGTTTCTTGTTTTATTTTATAAAAGTTACGTTTAAAAGCATTTTATAAATTTTTATATCTTCTACCGATTATAATTGCTTCTTAATATTTTTGTAAAATAACCTGTTTCAATTTTAATAGTATAAAGAACTATTCTAAATTTAATTAAAATATTTATTAACAGATTAAGTTGATGAATACGAATGTTTTTTTTCTTAGTTGTCTGATTAATGAAAATCTTAGTATTTATTAATCAATGCTAAATTTCCTTAACTGATAGTTTTTTTTATAATTACTTTACCCCAAATCATTGGGTGCTGAATGGAAAGGAAACTGCCATATTTGATAGATTCAGATATCATCTTTTCCTTCATGTGTATGATTGATCAATTAAAAAAAAGTCAAATCTGAGAGAAACTTGAATTTTCTCATGTTAAATAGATAAGATTTGTCAAATGTAGATGATAATAAGTTTAGAATACACAACATTACAACCAAATATCTAAAATTATGAGGAAAATTGTTACTACCAAAAACTACAAAAAAAAATAAAGCAAACACCAAAATAAAAAGGCATATTTTATTTTATTAAATTATGGTAAACAATATTCTTTACTGATAAATTATCCATTTATTAAGACATTCTTTCAAATCTATACTATTAAATAGAGTTATTTTTTTGTAACACTAAAATAGAGCTGTTATAAAACATCGAACCAAATTATTATTGATGAACCAATTTGTTAGTAACTTAACAAATAAAGTGAAATATATATTTTGACATATATCTTATATTTTCTTTCTCTAGCCAATTATATATCTTCCTAATTTTGTGTTTCATTACTAATTATTTATACCAATATTTTAAATTTTTGTTTTCAAAGATTATACCAACATTACGATAATGTAATCATGTCATCCTACACGTTACATAATACTTTGGATTTAACATACACATCCTCAAGTATTAATCAGTCAAGTTTATGCTTAGATAACATCTTCCTATATATTAAAATAATTCCTATATTAATTGAAAAGACATTTAATTGACTTTCTTAAACATGTCTTTCATAAAAAATGTTAAATTAATTATTATAATTTGATTAGTCGATGATTTTTTTCAGTTTTGGTTTGTTTAATTCAATTTAAAAAAGTAACCATAAACCAATTTATATCAGTTGTCAAACTAGCCGGACAAGATTATAAGTAAAAATATTTTCTTTTTGACAAATTCATTGTCAAATATAACGAATAATATAAACTTATATTGAAACATATGATTTGAAAAGAAATGTCAAATATTTTATATCTTTTGAGCGTTCAAAATTTGGAGTCATATTATATCATTCTCAATACAAAAAAAAAATTGAATATATTGGAAGATTTTCTTTTATTTTATAGGATATATAATCAGATACACACACACATATATATATATATATATATATATATATATATATATATTTATCATTTAGAAAACTAAGATTATTGTTGACAAAGACATTCAAGTTTTATAATTGTGACTTATTATATCAATTTACATTACCAAAATATAAACAAATCCATAAAATTTCTATTTAAAATAAAAATTACCATTAGAGAGTTAAAGTATACATTTAGTGAAATATTTTTATGGTTTAAAATAACAAAACTTTCCATATAAAATGAAAATTCTAATTAACATATATATAGACTAGAATGTTAAACAAAAAAAAAATCATTCTTAATGAGAGAGAATGTTAATCATCCATAAATTTATCTAAGGGGTTATAATGAATTTAAAAATAATCATGTGAACTTAGCTTGCAAACCATATCAACTATATATATGTGGTGTATCTTTTAAAAATTTATTGGAGCTATTTCAATGACCATTTATAATGTTTCTGATTTTCCATTTGCGAATATTGGGTTATTTATGTTATAATCATGCATGTTTATGTTGAATACATGGTGAATGACTCTAAGCCATATTAGTCAAAGAAATTTATAACGCCCCGCTCATCTATGGCTAATGAGCCAGCCACATCCGCTCTTTCGATCTGTGAACTCCATCTCATCTGACGAGCAGTACATTAATTGTTACAAAAGTTCGAAATCATTGTTTACTGACCTTGCAATTACCACCCGATCTTTTCCCTTTTTTGGCCACATTCGCACGGTATCGCGAATCACTTCCGATAGATCACTCATCTTTTTACTACTCAAACCCAAACACACTTAACTTGGAGTTATAAACGGATGTGTTACAGAAAAGGTAAGTCAATTGTGGGGACATAGGTAACCAAATCAATTCTCTTAAGCTTTTCCATATATTACAACTCGAGATGTTACAGTTCACCCCCTCTCAAAGAACGCAACATCCTTGTTGTGCCTCAAGACATGTCTCACAACGCCTCCGAGTCAGAACCGAAATGACTAACCAGCTCTAATACCACTTGTAACATCCCAGCCACCCACAACTAATGGACCACCCACGCCCGCTAATTCGGTCCGTGGGCCCCATCACATTCTAACGGTTGGTCTATTAATTTTTCCAAGGCTCGAAACTCGAAAGTCTTGTTTACGGACCATGCAATCACCACCCGACCTTTTCATGTTTGGCCTCATTCACATGGTATTGCGAATCACTTGCCGATAGGTCACTCATCCTTTCACTACTCCAAGGCCAAGCACACTTAACTTTGGAGTTATAAACAAATGTAAGACAAAAAAGGTAAGTCGATTTTGGTGACATATGTAGCCCAATTAATTCTCTTAAGTTTTTTCATATATAATAACTCGGGATGTTACAAAAAAATTTCCGTATTATTATTTATATATTATTTTTAGCAAGTATTATTTTTGTAATTGTGTACTATTAACTGTAGAAAAAATTATTAAAAAACTATTGAAACATCATCCGATTAAAAAAGAAGTGATCAAATATTTTACATTTGTTGAAAGTTTAAAATTTAGAGTCATAATATATATTTCTAAACACAAAATAATATTTTAATATATTTGAAGGTTTTTAATCATGGGAAATATAATCAAATACATATATATCTTATATCACTTTAAAAAACTAAGATTATGTTAACAAATGCATTCAAGTTTGTATAAATTTTTTTTTTATCAGTTTAAATTATAATATATAGAATGTTCTTCAGGAACACAAAAATATCATGAATGTTCAAAATGAAAACTTTTATATAAATTTACTTTAAATCTTAGTATTTATTAATCAATGCTAAGTTTGCTTAATTGATAGTTTTTTTTTTAAATCACTTTACTCCAAAACATTGGGTGCCGAATAGAGGAAACTACCATACTTGATAGATTCAAATATAAAACAAATATCATTTTTTCCTTCATGTACATGATTGATCAATTAAAAAAAAAATTCAAATCTGAGAGAAATTTGATTTTTCTCATGTTAAATAGATAAGATTTCCCGAAAATAGATGATAATAAGCTCAAAATACAAAACATTACGACCAAATATCTAAAATCCTAAGAACAATTTGTTACTACCAAAAATACAAGAAATAAAAAATTACTTCAAGAAAAAAACACCAAAAGGCATATTTTATTTGATTACATATTGCAATCGATATCTCTAACGATAAATTATTCATTAATTAAGACACTCCATGAAATTTACTCTATTAAAATAAAATCATTGTTATAACATGAAAACAGAGCCGTTTAAAAAAAAAGACCATACAAAATTATTATAGATGGACCAATTCATTAGTAACTTAACAAATAAAGTGAAATATATATTTAGACATATATCTTATATTTTCTTTCTCTAGCCAATTATTTATCATCCTAATTTTTTGTTTCATTACCACTTATTTATACCAATATTTTAAAGATTTGTTTTCAAATATTATACCAACATTACAATAATGTAATCGCC